TTTTTTTTTTTTTTTTTTTTTTTTTTTTAATCTGTATTGTATTTGGTCTCATATTCAACTTTCTGCAATTTCAGATGTTAGGCAACAGCTCAAAGTAGACTCATTATGTCTGCTTAAAGATATTATTTGATCCAAGTTTTTGTGTGGGAAAAACAAACCATGTTGCCTTCCCTGTGTTACATCAGTATGATGATCATATTCTTAGAGTATGTTTCACAAAAATTCTAATCCTCCTCCTTTGTGAGTTGGAGGATTCCTTGTTCCAAGTGTTAACTCATTTCTACTATCTGGAAAATAAATACTAGTATTAATCGAATGCAGCTGATGTGAAAACCCTTTGTTTTGAAGTTTAATATGACCATGATCAGCTTAATCCTGCGGCAGGTGTGTCATTTCAGAAGTAAAATTTCTCACAAAGACCTTGCTGGTCCTGTTAGAGAGATATCCTAGCATAAGTGTGTATATCTTTGGGTGGGGTTGCCTCACCAGGAGAGCAGAGATGGCACTGTCCCAAAAACACAGGAAGGTGCAGGGTGGATTTGGAGGGGTAGTTTGCTACAGTTGGAAAAGGATCGTGAGAACAAGTGTGCATGTTTGTCATTGTACCCATGCTTTACCCAGGTTTTTTTTTTAAATTTTATACTTGGTAGTGTGTACATATAAATAACACTCCAAGTTTTATGTGTCTGAATATTCCAAAAAGAGTTTATTTAAAGCAGCATTTTGTGCAAGCGCATGTATACAAGCACAGTGTGTTTGTGTTTGGCATGTGAGAGGGAGAGACTGTGTTTGGGACAATTGGGGTGGAGAGGAAATGGTGACACCCTGAGAGAGAAAGGGAGAAAAGAGTTTAGGTTGTGGCCCTCTGAAAGACTGAGAGACATAGAAACAAAGAGAGCGGGAGAACCTGGGAACTGGAGAGGAGAGCCTGGCTCAGGTTGCGTCCAACAAAGAGTTTGTCAGAGAGCAAAGGAGAGTGAGGGAGAAGGACTAAGACGATGGGCAGAATAAAACATTGAGGAGAGAAGGAAGGAAGGATTCGAGAAGAAGCCGATAAACAAGAAGCAGGAAATATTTGAACATAGGAACCCGTCAAGAGCGAAAGCTGGAGTAATCTGAGAGATGAGATGTACGAAAGCTGGGCACAAAACCTGATGGTGTCACATTTCTGTTGAGCAGGTATCCTGATTTTTATGGCGAGACTCCTTGTTTGTGTGTGTTTCTGTGCAGGAAAGAAAGTATCTGGTCATTTCAGTTTGTTTGGCTGACAGAGACCTTGGAAATGTTTGTGGGACATGGTTCATGTGGGATAATTTAAGAGAATGTTGACATTTTCTCTCTTTAGCTGTTAGTGTGCAAAGATGTTTCTACCAGGAGTTCAGTCTATTTAATCGAAAAGAAAATATAAAATTGGGGTGGGGGGGGAAGATTACTACGCCAATGAAAATAAATGAAGTAGACATACTCAGAAGGGCTAGATTTGTGTCAACAGAATCACTTTTAGCAGTTAATATTGGTTTGTATATTCATTCCCTTTATTTTTTAGATGAACTTTGATTTGATGAAATAATGAGCCAGGCAACATGTTGATTTAAATGTTTAAGTCAATAAGTGATCCGTCTCATCTGTGTGACTCGCATGTTTCGAGTAGTTCAGTGTATATTCATGTTAAATGATATGGTCCTTCTTGCAGAGTTTGCATTTAGAATAGAATAATAGAATAATGCAATTCTGTAATTATAATAGAAAGTGTATATTAGTTGAGGTCTTGCATGGTTTATCTGATGTAGCTTTTCTTTCTGTCTCCTAGTATTTATCCCAATGAAATTGTGCTTTCGCTCTACAGGACAACCTCAGTGTGTTTTTGCGTGGCTGTGAGGAGTTAGGACTGAAGGGCTCCCAGCTCTTTGACCCTGGAGACTTGCAGGACACATCAATACGCCCCACGGCCAAGTAAGACTCGACCACTTGAGTTATGTTCCACAGATAATATCTACCATTTGAACAAGTCGAGTCCTGCAGAGTTGACTGTGTAGATTTGACCATATATACTGTATGTAGAAAAGTTTAATGTGATGCTTTCCAGATGGTAAAACATAGATGCATGGATGACAAAAAAGAGCCTAAAAGTTAGTTGATGAATTTTAATCAGTTTGCTTAGTTTGTGAATGTCTTAGAATTTACTGTTTTTTGCGCTCTGTTGACACTGTTACTGTGGCACTATCTAAAGGTGACAGTTTTAAAATAAAACTTACTAATGTGAGCTTTAAATTATTTATAGCTTTGACATTTATTTACACAAGACTCTAACTTTTATCTCTCTACAAAACAGTGAGGGTGCTGTTCTTTCATAGTAAAGTGAAGCTTTGGTGAATGGAATTTTCCTAAATGTTTCTCTGCTTCAGAAGGTAAATATCTCCACATTTACCTTTGGAGATATTTTTCTCTGTTGTTATAGGACAGTTGTTTAAACTTTTTTTTTTTTAATTATTCTTATCACATTTAAATTGAGGTTTAAATTTTCAAACAAAAAAGACAAAAAAAAACTGTATTTCCTAAAATTCTTTGTTGGAAATGCTCTATATCACTAGATGGTGATGGTGAACACTTTTAGCCTGCTTGTCTCAAACACTGGTTGTGCATTTCTTTGTCTCACTTTGTCAGTAACCCGTCTGTCATTCTCTGCATCAGACAATCAAGCAGTTCACTGAAACACAAATAAGTAGACGGGAGTCAATGGAAGTTTGCATGAGCCTGTGCCAGTGAAGCAACAATGACATATCTGTGAGACACAATTGGTCTCTGTCCAAATAAAACACAAGGGTGTGCATCACACACTGAACTATGACTCCTACTTTGTTGCTTGGTAACAAAGCCAACTGCATCTAGCTTTTCATACTGTATATGTGTTTGTGTGAATATGTGGGTGTTTCACTGTCTTTGGCATGCACTGTCTGCTGGCTGTGTATTACCAAGTTTTCATTCACAGAAGGGTTTTAAAGGTGCTTTTGGAGATGGGGCAATGCATCTCTATTTTGTTTGCATCTCTGTTTATTTATTCTTGATTCAGCATGTGCACATATCTACAAGTATAATAATTTAGTTAATGTAAGAAAGGTCTAATATTGCCAATCAAGATTGTTAGATGAAGAGGGACATATAATTGTGTCATTAAATCTTTACCTCAGTTGCATTATCCATAAATATACTGATTATGGCTAAGTTAATGCCACTGGCAGTAATTATGGAAACCATTTAAAGCTTTCATCAAAAATAAATAAACATTAACTCATAAGCAGAAAGAATAATGTTACTATCATCACATAACATAGAGCTAATAGAGGGAAATGTCTTGGTAGTTATGTTTAACAAAAAAATATAGTGTAAATAATAAATTATGACTTTCAAAGCCAGATTATAAAATCTAATCACGTGAGAGAATTTTTTCAGAAATAACTAGCTAGCCAATTTGTAAAGGCGTTTTCAAATGTTTGTTTTCAGCCATAAGTTACTTTATATCAGTTTTTACAAATTTGATATTAAACTACTGTATATACCCATGCTTAATATACATTTGACATATGTAAGAGAAAAGAATAAGCAGCAATATCATTACTAGTTTATCTGTTTTTAGCCTTTACATTAAATACATTTTGTCATTTAAACGACAAAGACAAACATGCAGGAAAAAAATGTAAGACTATGAGAGCTGTTTACATTAGCTTGGGCCTCTTAATATGATCTAATACCTTGTGGAATGTGTATTTGTCCTTTGATTGTGAACTTACTAGCTAACAGCAGAGAAAGGGTACTTGTCTCCATGTTTATTTAGTCAACTGACAGAATGAGAGGATGATGAGGGAGGGGTTGCTGTTCATGCTCTCAAGCTCATTTCACCTTCTCCACCTTTATTTGTTTCTCATGTACCTGCTGCCATTCAAAGCCCAACTTTGAGTGTCACTTGCATGTTGAATGAGTTGGCCTAAGTTAAGCAGAGTCTCAGGATGTGTTGTGTGAAATATATATATATATGTATGTATGTATGTATGTATGTATGTATGTATGTATGTATGTATATGTGTGTGTATATGTATGTGTATATG